CCTCACCAGCAGCGTGCAGCGGCGTCCACTTCCTCTTCCTCTCCTTGAGCAGGGCGGAGGCGCCGTGGCTGGTGAGCACCTGCACGCAGGCCGTGGCGCCGCGCTCCGTGGCCAGGTAGAGCGCCGTGCGGCCGCGCTGGTCCCGCACGTCCAGGTTCACCAGCGTCTCGGCCAGCGCCTTGAGCGCTTCACAGTGACCGTTGTAGGCCTGCGGACAGTGGGGACATTGGGGGCGTTGGGGACATTGGGGATAAAGGGGGGGGGTGGTAATGGTGGGGCAGCCAAAGTGGCCACCAGGCAACCGAAGTGGCCACCAGGTACCCAGAAATGTTCTCTAGAATTGTCCCCATGCACTCAAAGTGGCCCCCAGGCACCCAAAAATTTCCTCCCCAGGTACCCAGAACTGATCCCAGCCAGAGTGGCCAGCATGCACCCAAAGTGGCCCCCAGGCACCCGGAGATGTCTCCCAGAAATGTCCCTCGGGTAGCCAAAGTGGTCCCAGGGTAGCCAAAGCAGTCCCAGAGTAGCCAAAGTGGCCACCAGGCATCCAAAGTGGTCACCAGGCAACCGAAGTGGCCACCAGGTACCCAGAAATGTTCTCTAGAATTGTCCCCATGCACCCAAAGTGGCCCCCAGGCACCCGGAGATGTCTCCCAGAAATGTCCCCTGGGTATCTAAAGTGGCCACCAGGCACCCAAAGTGGCCCCCAGGTAACCAAAATCGTCACCAAGCACACAAAGTGTCCCCCAGGCACCCAAAGTGGCCACCCAAAGTGATCCCTGGGTACACGAACCTTTCCCCCAAGCACCCAAATTGGCCACCAGGCAACCAAAGTGGTCACCCAGGCAACCAAAACTGGCCCTTGAGCATCCAGAGATGTCCCCTAAAAGTGTCCCCTGGGTACCCAAAGTGTCTCCCAGGCACCCAAAAATTTCCTCCCCAGGTACCCAAAACTGTCCCCAGCCAGAGTGACCACTGGGTACCCGAAGTGGCCACCAGGCACCCAGATGTGTCCCCAGAAGTGGAAGCCCAAAACACCCCAGGAACCCTTCCAGGACCTGGCATGAGCCCAGGCCCCCCTGATTCCCCTTCCAGGACCCCAGGACACCCCATTTCCCCTCCCAGGACCCCCCATTTCCCATTTCAGGACCCGGCACTCACAGCTAAGTGCAAAGGGCTGACGGGGACGGAACTTTCCACGTCCTCCAGGCAGTTAAAGGACATTTCCAGGAGCTGCAAGGGAACACAACAGGTTTGGAACGGGTCTGGAATGGGGCTGGAACGGGAATAAAACGGGAAC